ATCACTGTTTGAAGATTGTAAGAACTAAATAATTATCAATATGTTGTAATTTGGTTAACACGTAATGGTTTGATCTTATAGCTGCTATGAAACTATTCAACGAACTGAATTAATCATTGCTAGAAAACTATTTTTCATCGCTGCTTTGCGCGGGTAAATGACTATAGGTGATCTTTGATAATTTCTAAATCAATCCAAAAGTAAACCAAACACATACAACAAATGTAAAACCGATTAATATATAAAAACACACATACAACAAATGCAAAATCGATAAATATATTAATCGAAAAGCAAAGTGACCACTAATTTTTTTTTGCTCGCCACATGTTTTTTTCTAGAAGGACAAAAGAGATTATTGTTAGAACAATTGTAGAAAGAATCTACTCAAAAGCTACAAAATCAACAAAGAGATAGAATAGCATGTTAAAACCAACCTACCCAATTAATATTCAACACATTTTATTAAAAATATCCACCTCATGTTTTTTGGAATGTGAAATGTCTTCGAAAAAAAAAACTATTCACCGATGACACTTTTCCTGGTATCATACCAGATGAAAATGTAGTTGTATATTATCTGTTTTTGGTATAACGAATTTAATGTAAGAAAATACATACTGAACAAACACAAAGACAATCAATAGACTTAGAACGCATGTCCAATAAAACGCGAAAGTTCAAAATTTTCCATATTCGATTGACCAATGTGGTAACTGTTTTTTGGAATATGTTCTCTAATAACAAGCTAATCTTTTGCCGCCGCTTTGCGCGGGCCAACTGCTAGTATGTATATATATATATATATATATATATATATATATATATATATATATATATATATATATAGTAACAATTTAGAATTTAATATAAATGTAATTGTTCTTTCCAATCAAGAAGAAAATGCATTACTATTTGTTATGTATAAATCTCAAAAAGATATCAGTAGTTTTGATAGATAGTCATAAAGAAATGCCAAATGTTAATGCTGAATATGGGCTGTTACCACAATTTTTGGTAAAAATTACTATTTCAAAAATTAAACTGTGAATTATTAAAACGACTGAATTTATTTTCTATGTAATACAAGTAGCATTGATGGCAAATTTTATGATGGAAAGAGGGTTCAAAAAAGCACTTCATTTTCTTATTAAAGAAATTTCAGTATTTAAAAACAATTGGTGGTTAAAAAACAATCTTGAGGAAAATGCAGTGGCGTTAATAAGACATATGAAATTTTTTCAAGGACAAGCTCAGAGCAAATGAGATTGTGACATTGAGAAGGATCAAAAGGAACAAAAAGAACAATTAACTAAACTAAGATTAAAGTATCTCACAAAACTGCTACCGAATGACACCAACTTAAATAGGAAAAAATAGTTTATGAATGAATACAATTTGATAAAAAAACAAAAGAAGAGAAAAAATATTGGTGAAGAATGCAATGCGAAAGTATAATGAAAGATTTAAGCTCATGGAAGATATTTAGAAATTTCAAAAAAAAAAAAGGAACAAACAAGATAACAATGATTTATGTAGCTTTTATTTTGAGAACAATTTGATTTTTTTTTGTTGGACAAAAATGCTACATTTTATTTTATTATGGGTACTGATGATCTACTGTTTAGATATATGAGAATTTCAACATTATATTACTATGAATGTTAAAAACTTATAATGTAATATCATTGTTTTATATAAAAAATTAAACTGTGTATAAACGAATGTACAATCCATCTTTTACTATCATTGATTGTGTTTTTTGGATCATAGATCGTGTGCATCATAAATATTATGTTTTTTTGGATCGTGTAACATCCCCCTCTGGCACGTATCACAATATTGTCCGCTTTGGGCCACTCAGCACGAGGACTTCCCAGGGGGTCACCCATTCCGGTACTACTCCCGCCCGAGCACGCTTAACTGCAGAGTTCTTATGGGATCTGCTGCCCTCACGGCTTTAAAACGCGTTGTGATAAGGAAGGTATCCACACCCCTTATAAGTAGATGTTTCGTTCTCCTTCCAAGCCGATGGGGGTGAAGGTGGCAATGATTTGAACAACACTAAAACGAACAAATTAATATATATATATATATATATATATATATATATATATATATATATATATATATATATATATATATATATTAATTTGTTGTTTGAGATATAAATGTTGCCGAGCTTTTCAAGATATTTTGCAATTTACATGCGTACACGACAAAAAAGGGTTAATGGGTCATATGCATGAATATTTTAGATAATGATAACTCAATTAATACTCGCACCATATTCACGTCAGATATCATAAATCATAATTTGAACATGTATTTAGAACCATGCTCAAGAGGCTTTAAGTCATATATATTCACGATCTACAATGTGAACATTCGTGACTTAAGCCATGACTAAATTTTTAATAATATTGCGAACATGATATAACGCAATGAATGTGTTTTAAAACTAAAAATGATTGAAAACTCTTTGTTACTAATTAGGTTAATATGATGAAACTTACGGTTTATTTTATTAATGTTTCATACCATACACCATTAATATTCAATTATATATCAGATATCATTTTGTCATTTTAGATTTTTCATCTACCTTATCAATTAGTTTTAACCACACATTATTACTTTATCAACTGTCAACTAGTTTCTAAAAAAAAAAAATTAGTTTTTTAGCTAGAAGCTTGTTATTCAGATACATCATTTCTTACATAATTTTTTTTGGAACAACTTCATCATTTCTTTATTTTATCCTTTTAAAAACCCAACCCTAAGCCACCCCTACTTCACTTGCAACACCCACCACCACCACCACTGTCCTCCTACCACCTATTTTGAACTTTTTCAATATAATTTAGAATCCTTTTAAAATATGTAAAACAAACAAAAGAAAGATACAAATTTCATGTAAAAGTTGGTCGCTTTTGCAAAGCCACCAAAGGTAACAATCACTAACAAACGATAACAATTCTTCAACTTGGATGGAGACCGATTTGTGTTTTTCAAGCATGAGGATTCATGGATTGATCATGAAACATCGATTGATGTTCCCATCACACACACACACATGGGTGAAATGCACACAACGATAGACTAAAAACCTGGAAATCTTTAAACAAAAAACCAAAAACTAAACAAAGATTGAATTTTCAAACCATCATGAGACCCACAAACCGAAGCTCAAAAGCCTTTGAACTATGTTGAAGCTCAAAGATATATTAGGAAGATGATCCTAACAATAGACACATGCACCAAATATAGTAGAGTGACAATTCATAATTCCACACTATTTTCTTATTCCATACAGGTTTTACGATGATAAGAGGGCAATGGTTAGAGGTTTTGAGTGGATAAAAGCGAAATGAATGAAGAGGGTAGTAATGTGATGGTGAAAGTGTGTGCTAGTGAAGAGACGAGAGAAACAAGTGAAAAAGAATGACGAGGGAGAGCACACTGCTGATGTCGATGATGAGGTTGAGAGAAAGAGGAAACATAGTTGGTCAAAATGACCAACCATGTAAGTTTTTGAAACCACAAGGACTAGAGGCGTGACTTTTTATAGTTGTCCTTTAAGAGAGAATTTTTGAAAACCACATGCACCGTCTAATACCCACCCTGCAATTTGAGTCCACAAGTTCAAACATTAAACGAAAAAAACATAACCACAAGTTCTAAATCAATCATAATACATAAAAAAAAGAAACATAAATACAATACCAAAACAAAATATAATTCACGATGAATCCAAACAAATCATGATCAAAATCACGTATATTAAAACATGGAGTGTTATATGCATCAAGTTCATGACCACTTAGAATATGACATTCACAATCTTCATTCTCATTATATATATATATATATATATATATATATATATATATATATATATATATATATATATATATATATATTACACTTTCTTTTTCTACATTATCAAATAAGAATTTTTAATGTCATTAATAGACTAATAATAAGCTAAAATTGCAATATTAAATTAATCCATTTATAAATAAAAAACATAACATTGCGTTTGACAAATTTAAATTAAATGACAATTTTAATAGAGAAATATTTTATTAAAATATATTGTATCTATTTTGTAAATGCAAATTGTATTGAAAAATAAAAGATCATTTAGACTTTGATGTTCCAACCTCTTCCACCTTTTAGCATGAATCCTTTCAAAGACACTCCAAATAGGCTCACAATTGGAAGATGATGTGGTTTGCCTTAATATTCTAATAACAAACTTTTGTAATATCGGAATATCTCCGCTAAGTAACTTACATCATTCATCTAAAAAAAGAAATTGCTAGAAAAACATATATTTAATGATAATATATTTAATAATAACATATAAAATTTAAATCGGACATAGACGTGTAATAGTACAATAAGCAACATCACTTGATTGACCAAAAGTACCTCCACTCACGAAACTTGACTAAAGATATTTTAAGATCTACAACTTCCTTACCTAGATACTTCTTCTTAACCATAAAGAAAACCTTAAAAAACCTCTTTCCTATAACGAAGCTTGTCATGATCATACTAAAAAGATTGATTTAACCAATAAGCTGCGCACAATGAATACTTTTACACATCCTATCCAAATGACGATCGATTATTTTAGTATAAGGCTTGTATAATTCTTTCTTTTTCTCAAACAATTTCATACCCTATTTCCTGCTTGTTGCATTCCCTTGTTAACATAACCTGATGTAGGTTTTTCATTTAAATCACACAAATGCAAGCATTAACAAAGGAGTCACCACTTTCACTATAATCAAACAAATCTCCCAAAAAGTATTTTTTTTTTAAAACATTTTGTTTACATTCATCAAAAATTTCCACTTTAAACATCTTCTTAAACTCATTAGATATGACCATAGCTTGTAAATTAACTTTATTGTCATACAAACTTCTCAATGCAATGGACGTGGTACCAAAATAAGTAGCACATGGACGAATGATTTTTGTCCAACCATGTCTTTTCCTAACCAATTCATGGGCCACTTGATTATAAATAAAAAAGCAAGCCTTTGAGACCAAACTTTTCATGCTATAAAATTTCGAAACATCCTTTAATACAAGATCAAGACAATGTGATAGAAATATATGTTTTACATAACACATTACCAACAACTTTGTAGTTAACAATTTGAACAACATTTTACGAATTACAAATTTGAAGCATTGCTCTTTATATCTGATACATCAAGATATTTAAGAAACGAATCCCTTTGGGACAATAAACCAATAATTTAATCAAATGGCGTTGCCCAAAATCTCCTTCCACCTATCACTTATATCGTGCAACCACTTTCAATCCATTGGCTACTATACAAATCAGTAATAGTAAAACTGACTTCTTAGCATCTGTTAACAAATTGACCCTAAAAGAATGATCATTAGGTGCTTTGTAACCATAACCAAATCCTACTATTTTATCCACCATATGTTTAAAATAAAAGCAATTACAAGCATTCATAGGCACACATGTATCATAAAACCATTAAATAATAGTTAAATCTACATCATGTAATTTTTCCTTACTTTGCATTATAGATTTAATTGTAAGTTTAACAAGAAGAAAGGATGCAAATTTGATGTAGTTTTCCTTTTTAAACAGATTGTTCTTTGACATTTCATAGTTATGTTTCCTCCGACTCTTCATCGTCATCCAAAATATTAAAAACTATTTATACCACCACCATTAGCTTTATTTTTTTTCCTTGTAGGCCATTTAAAAAAAATACCTTACATAGTCAAATGAAGAACGAAGACGGATAAATCGTGAGCATAAGCAACTGAATCATATTCTCCTGTTTAATCAAATGTAAGAATGAATATGGATAAATCATCAGCATATGCAACTCTACCTGTTGATAATAAGGGAAAAAAGACACGTGTAGTTTTTGGCAAAAGGTTATTCATTATGGTAGAATAAATAGAGTTAAGAAGCATCTTGCAAGTGTTGGTGGTGAGATTAGATCATGTAAAATAGTAACTCCGGAAGTCCGTTTACTATGCAATGTATTTTGATACAAACACTCCAAAAGGAAAAAAAAAAAAAAAAAGATAAAGCCAATGGTGGTGACACAAATAGTGTTAATATCTTAGATGACGATGGAGAGTTGGAGGAAACATTCCTCATAATTGCAAAATGTTGAAGAACGGTTTGTTAAAAAAAAAGGAAAAACGAAAGCTACATCACGTTTGCATCCTTTCTTCACAAAGGGTATAAATTAGGGGTGTTCGCGGTGCAATTTGGTACGGTTTACTGTCAAAACCACAGAGTGCGCTGCATATGCGGTTCGAGATTTTTTGAAACCACGAACCGCACCGTGAAAGTGTAAACGGCGGTTTGTGGTGCGGTTTGTTGTGGGCTGTTTTGCGGTTTTGGTGCGGTTTGTGTAGTTTAATTAGTTGTTAAACTTTGAAATTATTTTCAATCATTTGATCTAAATTAAAATTTTATATTTTATTAAAGACATACTATATTGTAATATTTTTTAACATATATCTATGGTCATTGCTTAATGCTGCCAAATCTTTATATATCTTCTTCAACATATTATATCAAAATATATTACAACTAATATATATATTTTCATGAGGTGAAGTTAAAATATAATTTCTTTGTAAAAGCTAATGTAATATATATTTGATCTAAATTAAAATTTTATATTTTATTAAAGACATACTATATTGTAATATTTTTTAACATATATCTATGGTCATTGCTTAATGCTGCCAAATCTTTATATATCTTCTTCAACATATTATATCAAAATATATTACAACTAATATATATATTTTCATGAGGTGAAGTTAAAATATAATTTCTTTGTAAAAGCTAATGTAATATATATATATATATATATATATATATATATATATATATATATATATATATATATATATATATATATATATATATATATATATATGCGGTGCGGTTTGAACCGTAGTTTTGAAACTAAAAACCGCAAATCGCACCATATAGTGCGGTTTATCAAAATTATGAACCGTAAACCGCACCACAAAAGATCTAAACCGCATTATGCGGTGCGGTTTGGTGCGGTGTGGGCGGTTTATACGATTTGTGCGGTTTTATGCACACCCCTAGTATAAATGATCATTCTCAACCCACAATTAAATTTGCCATGGAAAGTAAGGAAAAATTACATGATGTGGATTTAATTATTGCTATGTGGTTCAACGAGACATGTGTACCTATTAATGATTATAACTCTCCTTATTTTCAATATATAAAAGATAAAATAGCAAGATTTTGTTATGGTTACAAAGCACCTAATTATAATGCTTTGAGGGTCAATTTGTTGTCAAGATGCTAAGTAGCCACTTTCACTATTATTGATTCATATAGAAGTCAATTGATTGAAAATGGTTGCACGATTATGACTGATTGGTAAGGGATATTAAGCAATGGCATTTGATTAATTTATTGGTTGATTGTCCAAATATGCTGATGTATCAAATATAGAGAGCAATGTTTCATATTTGTGTAATTTATTTGTCAAGATTGTTAAAATGGTAGAAACAAAGAATATTGTTCAAATTGTTACTAAAAATACAAGCTTGCTAGTAATTTATTATGTAAAAGATATAGTTTTATTTCTTGGCCTCAATGTGCAACACATTTCTTAATTTTATATTAAATGATGTTTAAGAATTGGAGAATGTGAAAAATCTGGTCACTCTTGCATTGTATTGTTTTAATTTATAATCATAATTAATCCTTGAATTGGTAAAAGAAAAGATGATTGGAAAAAAATCATCCATCTATATGCTACTCGTTTTGGTACAACGGTCACTGCATTGAAAAGTTTGTATGACCATAATTTACAAGCTATGGTGATGTCTAACAAGTTTACGAAGATGTTGAAAGTGAAAAATTCATTTGGATATAAACATATGCTTTTGAACGGAACTTTTTGGAGGAATTTTTTGATTAGAATGAAAGTGATGACTTATTTGTTAAAGCTTTCGCGTTTGTGCTATTCAAATGAAAATTTTGCACTGGGTTATATTTATAGGAGAATGCATTAGGCAAGGAAAGGAGTTATGGAATTGTTTAAGAAAATTAAAGAGTTATACAAGCATTATATGGAGATAATTGATCATCATTGGAATAAGATGTTGTGTAAAAGTATTCATTGTGCAACTTATTGGTTAATTTGAATTTTTTAGATCATGAGAAGCTTTGTAGAGAGAGGCGTTTCAAGGTGTTCTTGATCTGGTTGAAATTTTTTTATTCGGGTAGGGAAGTTTTAGACCTTACAATGTCTTTAGGCAAGTTTCGTGACATTGAAGGTACTTTTGGTAGCTTTAGCTATGTTGCTTCTTGTACTCATCCAAATATAATTAGGGGTGTTCATAACGGATATCCGAAAATCCGGATATCCGAATTTCGGATAGTTGATTTTTGGTATCCGATTTCGTATCGAAATTTCGGATATTCGTAATTTCGGATACGAAATCGGATATCCGAAAATTTGAAAAACATATGAATCTTTTAAGTTAAAAATACATATTTTTAAATTAGAAAGACATATGAAGTAATATATGTATTTAATTAAGTGTATTATCAACATGTTTTAGTTACTAAAATTCATATCATAAGACATATGCGACTAAAATAACAAATAATGTATAAAATAAAATCAAAATTTTCGGATATTGGATATCCGAATTATCCGAAAAATCTGAAAAACACTATCCAATTCCGATTCCGAAAAATTGGATATCCGAAATTTTGGATATCCGATTTTTCGGATAATTCGGATTCGGAGTTTCGGAATTTCGGATACGGATATTTTTGAACACCCCTAAATATAATCTGAATTTTAAATGTTACTTTAAATATACTATTATGAAATATATGTTTTGCTAATCATTTCTTTTTTAAGATGAGTGATGAAAGTTATTTGATGGAGATACTCTGATGTTGCAAAAGTCAGACCACATCTTCTTCGGGTTGTAAGCTTAATTGGAGTGCCTTTCACATGAAAGTGATATTCATTATAATTTGCGTTTACAGAATATATACAATATATTTAATAAAATATTTATACAATTAGCAATGGCAATATATTTAATAAAATATTTATTCAATTAGACTCAAGATTTATAAAAGGTCTTATGATTCAATTGACTATGACTGTATTAATAAGATTAACTTTTGGGTGGTTGAAGAAGAGTCGAAAAGAGAACTTAAGTATGAGGATTTACAAAATATGCTTGACAAACATGAGCAAAAATCGGCTTCTCAAATGTAATGTTACATTTTTCATTTCTACATAAATTAATTTAGTGTTGCAATTTTAGTTTACTATTAGCATATTAATGACATAAAAAAAATTCATTTTGATACTTTAGAAAAAGAAAATGTTCATGTTAATGTTGATAAGGATGAAGATGATAATGGATTTCGTGTTATAAGCAATCGTGAGCCTGATGCATATAACACTCAAGTGTCTCAATATTTGTGATATGATTTGATTGTGATTTCTTTGGATTCATCGCAAATTATATTTTGTTTTGGTATTGTAATTATGTTTCGCTTTTGATACATTGAGATTCATCTGAAACTTGGGGTTATTATTATTATTATTATTATTTTTAACGTTTGAACTTGTGGATATCAATTTCCATGTTTTTATATATGTATGTATTAATGTATGTTTATGGGTCAACCTTTTTTTATAATTTTTGTTACGAATTTGCTTCAAACATTTTTACAAATTTGCCCAACTTTTTTTTTTACAAATTTTATTTATGTCTTTTAAAAATTAGTTTTTTTTTTTCCTACAAAACTAGTTTTTTTTAGTTATAAAATTATTGGTTACATTTTCTTTACAAAAGTTTTCATGAATTTGTTTTCAATGTTTCATGTATGGTCTAAATATTTTTTTGTTTTTACAAATTATGTTTTTTCCGAAATTCTTTTTCCAACTTTTTTCAGCTGTTTATTTTATGCATGTAAGTTATAAAAACATATAAATATTCGCTTTAAATTATTTATTTTAGTTAAATTTGTAAAAAAATTAATTTGTAATAAAAAAACAAAAAGTTGTAAAAAGCTAATTTAAAAAGTTGTAAAAGCTATAAAAAATTAATTTGTAAGAAAAAAAGAACTAATTTTTAAAAACATAGAAAAACAAAGTTGTAAAAAGGAGGATGGAGCAAATTTGTAAAAACGCTTAGGTGTTGTTTGTTTTTTCTAAAAAACCACTTCAGAACACTTATTGTTGCGCCGCGCAGCACACGTGCAACACTTGGCCCTTCGCAGCTGTTTGTTTTTCAGAAGACTTCTAACTTAAAAACTGTTGCGCGTGTGTTGCGTGGCACAGCAGTAGACCAACTGCTTCAAACCTCTTCACACATTACTTTAACTTACTGCAGCAGTCTACAGACATTAAAAAACAAAGAAACTTTTTATTAAATGCTGAAGCCGTTTGATCCACCTCTTCTGCTACAGAGGGTTGCGGAAATGGTTCGCAGACTTCAGACATATTCGCTTCGAAAAAACAAACAACACATAATAAAATATAAAACTTAAGCTAAATTTAAAAAAACAAAAAAGTTAGAAAACCTATGTACATGTTGCAGCACATCACGAGAACTAATTTGGGTCATCCTTCATGGTAAGAAAAAAAAATTAAAAAAATAATAAAAAGGGTAGAAAAGTCATTTCATGTCTCTCAAGGGATGAAACGTGCAAATTTAAACTAATGAGTGACAACAACATGTACAACTTTTAACTAATCGAGGGACGGTCGATGGTCTGAGTTAATTTTTGAAAATAAAGACAAAACGTGCATTTTGGCACGAGGGACGATTCGTGTAATTTACCCTAGTATTTTAAATTAAGAATGTTAGTTAGCCATATATCGGCTATGTTTGTCGTACTAGTTAAAAAACTAACTGTTAGCTGAAAAGTTAGTTGTTATATAAAAAACTAATTGATAGCTGCTGAAAAGCTATTTGATAAAAAATGACGTTTGATAAAACTAGCTGATAAACAAGTTAAAATATATAAAACGACATAAAAGGACATTAAAAAAAATATGTTTTGTATAATTAATTAACGGTATATTTGAAATATTTAAAAAAAACTCCTGAAAATCTAATCTAAGTAGCTTTTTAAAAAGCTAGGTTATAAGCTAGTTTTTGGTTTGGTAAACATGACAACTTAAAAAAACTCGAAAAATAAATTAGCTTATCAGCTAGTTGTGACACGCCAAACACAACTATAGTCCTAACACTTTTAAATATAACTATATAACAAAATAAACAAAAAATGTATAGATCTAAACTTGAAGGACCAAAATTGACACATTGGACATCATTATAATATAATTAAATTTGATGTTATACTCTTTTTTTCCCATCAAAACTGTATAAGAAATTAAGAATAGTGTTGAATTAGAGCAAAATGGTATAAAAATAATGTTTAAAAAAAAAGAGAGAGATTTGATGATGTTTTGGAATTGCCCCAGAGCACTGTTATATCAATTTGCATGTTTACTTAAACATATTTCGTTTTGTTTTTCTCAATTTACTTTAATAAATTTAAAGATAAGTAAAGTTTTGCCATGTTTATTAGAATATAATTATTTGATTAGAATAGATGATAATTACATTACATAATTAATATAATAATTAAGAGTTATTAAAGACATGAAATTATGATTTATGAGAGGGTTTTTTTTTTTTTTTTTTAAAAATTTCTGCTATTTTCAAATTACCAACAAAATAGTCAAAGTAACAAACAGAGACGTACCAGTTACCATGGCGACAAACCCAATTCAAGAGAGCTAACGAGCCCTTCATCGAGGTTATCAAGACGACTCAAAGATCCATTAATCCATTCACTTCCATTTTCACCATCGTAATTCTGATACAGCTTCAATCTTTGTTTATACAATCTTAAACGATCTTCCAATATGCTTCTTTCCGATTCATGTTTCATCACAATCCACCTCAACGATTGAATAACTTCTTGATCATGGAGTTGCTTTTCATGACACAATCTTTGATGTTGTTGGGCTTCCATTTCAAGGACGCTTTTCTGATTCTGAAGACGCAAAATCAAAGCCATTGCTTCCTCGGCTGCAGTGGTGGACGCCATTCGCTCTTTCTCGAGTTCTATGTAAGCATCATGCGCTCGCTGCCTCTCTATCTTCACCAATCTTCTCAGAGTCATTACATCGAACACTTGGTCTTCTTCGTCACAATGCTCTTGTTTATCAGCATCTGAACGATCGCTTGCGTTGCTATTTACAGTTTCTTTAACCACCTCCCATTTCTCGATCATTGTCGGGGTCGAAATATTAAAAAAACTCATCAATCCGCATTTACAAATCGACGTCTTCGAATCGGAGTTCCCATGGAAACAATTTCTCAAGCACAACCAGTTTAGAAACCGATTAAAAAACCCAACGTTGAAAATTTTTATACCAAAATAAAGCAAAATTAAGAGACCTAAAAGATCCATGAACTTTTTTAAACATCCCACGATCAAAACCCCAAACCCTAAATCTCTGTCAAAACCCCAAAAGCTAAAAACCGATTCAAGATCCATAGAGAAATATCCCAGATGAAAATTCGAATATATCCCTTGTAGTGTTTCAAAGTATTAGTATTTGCAGGTGTTTAAATGCGTAAATTCTACAAATATAAAGTTCTTCGGTGTTTATACAGCATTTATGATGCAACAAACGAGATATATCATATAAATTCTACAAACATACAAGTTCTTCGGTGTTTATATAGCATTTATGGTGCAACAAACGAGAAATATCATATTTATGATATTTTTGCGTTAACGTATAAAGTTGGAGATTATGCGAAAATTGGGGCAAATGTGTTTGTGTATCTACGTTTTAAAATAATTACTATGAATGTTTCAATAGTCAAAATAAGAAATTTGATAGTTAGTTATAACAATGCGATATATTTTCTTTTACATTATTCAAAAAACTAAATTTAAAGTCATGATTCTTAATTTGATATAGCATCAAAATGTATTCGGTGATATGTTTGAACAATAGCCTTAATTAGGAGATAACATCATAACACACAAAATAAAGTAAAAGTTGATATTATAACCAATAATATATAATAGTATGATTATGGTACATAATAGTATGATTATGGTATGATTATCTTACTTTATTATATAGTAGTTTGATTATGGTATATAAGTATGTGATTCATATGTCATATTATTTTAATGTGTAATATGAAAAATAAATTGTTTTATATCTAGGGATTATAATTGTACTATGTACCATACAAATGATACAATAGACGATCGAAATAAATTGGGACCACTTTGACAAAATCATAACCAAATTAATAAGTGGTTTAAGGTTTTGTCCATCTCATTTGTGTCTTGTAAATGTCATAATTGGGAGGGTTTTGGACCACATCCATTTTTTACATAATCATAAGAGTTTCTATGAAATAATTTACTCATTATTATGTGAAATAATCAATAATGAATATATACTGCAAGAAGGAGCTATTTGTACTAGAATTTGAAATATGTTTGAATAATTGTTTTGGGAGTGTTAGGAAGAACTCAAGCAATTTAGTTTTAGAGGTTATAGATTTTAATTATAAAAGTATTATCAACTTTTTAAATTTTAAAAAATGTCAACATTGCTAACAATATATATATATATATATATATATATATATATATATATATATATATATATATATATATATATATATATATATATATATATATATATATATATAGTGGTTCAAATGAGAACACAAAAAGATTAAGAACTCTAAAAACCCTCATTTACAAATATTTATTAACTATCTATTGTAAATACTTATTAAATATGTTACAACCTAATTTTTTTTGTATGAAAAAAGGCAAAATTGTAATTTTTCCAGCCTAATATTTTCATTCAGACATTCATTTATATTCAAACATAAATTTTATATAAAATACATAACTTAATACAATTCATTCATAGTTTTATACACAAAATTCACAACTTAATAAAAATCCATTATACATTGATTCATTTATTAGGAGAAGTCAAACACAAACTCTACCACCACCAACTACCACATGTTGTCATTAACCACTTGTTCCATTGTCGCAGCCGTCCTTCTTCCAAATCAAATCTGTATAGATAAAGTCATGCGTTGGCATCTTAAATTATATATTCACAATTTAATAAACATATTAATTTACTCATTCAAAGTTTAATGCAAAATAATTATAAAAATTAATACATTTTACATACTTATATAACACAAAAAATAAATATATTCACAAAAAAAAATGAATACAACCCTTCATACATAAATAATTCATATTTTATGTGACATCCCCATTTTCACGGCCAGAAAAGACTGATTTTGTTTATGCTTTATAAAAGTCAGAGTACTTCTTTTCATAAAAATGTTGTGGAATTTGTTCCCAGAAAAACACGATAAATACGTTATTAAAACATTTTCGAAGAAATGTATTTTATTCATTTTAAAACATTTGGGATGTCATTGTCAATACAGAAACATAAGCATAAACAGAACTTACATTTATTTACACTAGTGATCTACATCTCTTTAATCTCTCAGGGTAATGTGACTTCATATCAACACCTGTGATATAAATAAATTGAGTGGGTCAGGTTGGGAAACCTGGTGAGTACATAGGGTTTTCAACCCACAATAATATAATTATTATGTTTAAACAATCAAACAATCAACCCAATTACCCATCCCCATTATCTTCTTTACTCTTAAGGATTTAACCTAAGAGTCATCTATCCTGCATTCGTTTATTCCGAAGTCCCTTACTTCCAGGGTTACAGGACTGGCACTAAGTCCATAGCTGCCAATGCTCGTTCGTAAAGCACTAATTCCATAGCTGCTAAAGTTCATTCATCGGGTACTAAATCCATAGCTACCGGTGTCTAGGTACTAAGTCCATAGCTACCAACGTTTATCTATCAGGTACTAAGTCCATAGCTACCAGCATTTATTCAATAGGCACTAAATCCATAGCTGCCAATGATCATTCATATCATCTTTAATCTCTCATCATTCATCTACCCATGTTATACCCAACATATTTGTAGATATAAAATATGTATACAATTTAAATCATTTAAAACTTGTATAAAATCATTCATCCAACATAGATAGCAAGTATACAGATAATATGCACACATAACACGTAGTTTATATAAAATACTTCATATTTATGTGTAAGATGAAAGAGACTATGCACTCACTTGAAAGGTGGTGACTCAGCACTCGAACAACGCTTCGATATTCTCAAAACAACTTTCCTTCGATAAAACCTAGTATTAATACCACTAGGGTTTAGTCTAACGATAACCGCGACCAATTACTAGTCTGACTATTATTATTATTATTATTATTATATAAGCGTTAAATAACACTCAATATAACTCATAATAATAGCCCAAATAATTATTTTAAGGACCTAATAACATTCCTATAATTATTCGAAAGCTATATTAAAAATTACGTAAGCGTAGCACACTTACAGCGAATTTATCGAAAACTGGAACTTAATTGGAGCAGTGTTTCGAAACGAAAGACTCCTTTTTCTCGGGACTCCGGGAGCCTCGGGGCTTCCTTAGGGTGCTAGGGACCTTATCTAGGGTTTAGGAGGGTTAGAGGGGTAGTGAGAGAAAGTAGAGAGAGAAGGAGTTGAAGAAATGAGTGAAAAATCCGAGACTCTTCGCAACCTATTTATAGGGCCGAACTTCGGACCCACGCTGCGCGTACCACTCAACTACGTTGGGCGTAGTTCGGATAAGGTTGCCAGGCGTGTTCCAGCTGGCTCGCACTCGGACAGGACCCGGATAAGACCGACGGTACGCGGGGCATACCGGACCTCGTACGCGGGGTGTAATGCGAAGGCTTCGTGGCATGATCCGAAGCGAGGTCTGTTCAGCGATGGAGGGTCCAGATGTTGCCACGTCATCTCAGTTTCGCAATTTTCCTTCTCGACTTCTAAAAATCATAACTTTCACATACGAGCTCCGTTTTCGATGTTCTTTATATCCACGTGAAGGTGGGAACATACTCTACAACTTTCGTTTAGATTTCGTCGTCTAATTTTGACTCGATTTTAAATTTTATATTTTTAACAGACCGGGACAGGATTGGTCCGTTAAATCCTCATAACTTCTTCATCCGACATCCGTTTTCACCCATCTTTTTCTCGTTACGCTACTCTTAATGAGATCTTCGATTCTCGTTTAGATCGTGTCGGCTAAAAACCGCTCGATCTAATATTCGAATTTCGGGTTGTACACCGCTAACTCGAAACTTCAAAAAATCATAACTTCTTCATACGAAGTCAGATTTGGGCGTTCTTTTTATCGATGTTCTTAGTTTAACATATTCTACGACTTTGGTTTATATCACTAAGGCTAAATCTCGCTCTATCGTAAATTCACTATTTACGCTCCCCGGTGCCGTGCCGGTTCCGTCGCGAAACTTCGACGAGTCATAACTTCTTCGTTATAACTCGAATTTCGGTGTTCTTCATATGTACGGAAACCTTGTGACATATTCTACAACTTGGTTAAGATTATTTATTCTAAATAATCTTTTGTCGAAAAGTCGTTTTCGACCCCTATTGCCTCTAATTTGACTAGCCCGGATCTGCGGGCGTTACATTTTAGCACAAAATTCACAAAATTTTTGAAACGTATTAGAGTCGATTCACAGCTTAATATAGTTAATTTACAGTTTAATAAACAAAATTCACAATTTAATACACAAAAATTATACATTCACAACCATATACTCAACTTAAGATTTACATATATGCATTCAAAACTAGAAGCTAATATTCCTCTTTAAGTTTAATTTACATAATATTAACAATTTAAAGTTTACATACTTTATTCAAAGTTAGAGAAAATCATATATGTATATAATGTTTTCTTTCATCTCGTATTTCATTAGCAAAAACAAAATTTATTAAAAAAATTACAGTTTAATATCATCAATTCACAGCTTAATAAAATTAATTCACAATTTAATACATAAAAATATACATTTAGAGTCATATAATCAACTTAATAGATTCAGACACTAATTTACAGCTTAAAACATATAAAAAGTTATGAATTCATGGCTTAAAACTTAGATTTTCTTATTAATAATAGTTAAAACTAACATTACCAAAACTAAACAATATAATCAATTCACAACTTAATACAACTAATTTACTGTTTAATACATAAAATTCACAGCTTAATATAATAAATTTACATTTTAATACATAAAAATTATACAGTTACAACCATATTCTAAGCATAATAGGCTAGTTCATACACCAATTCACAACTTAATACTTTAAAAACTCATGAATTCATAGCTTAAAAACTTATATTTTCTTATTAATAATAGTTAAAACTAAGATTAACATAACTAAACAATAATTGCAACATTAAACCAACAAATTTACAACTTAAAAAAAGTTGAACTCATAGTATTTGAAAAAACATTAACATAATATCTCACATTATAAATTCAATTCACATCATAACAACAACAAAACATAATCGGTTTAAATATTAAATTCACACCTGAACAAATAACATAATAAACTTGGATTCATAACTTAATAGCAGGTAAAAATAAGATTAACAAAAGTAATAAAATAAGAAATTAAAACATTAAATTCACAGTTTAAAATAAGTAAAAACAAGTAATACAAAAATTAACACACCTAAAAGATGGTTGTGAGCTAACGGTGGTTCACCGGAGCTGGGAGGTAGCAGTAGTGGTGGTGGTTGATGGCGATATTTGATGTGATCAGTAAATCTCGTCGGAGATCGTTGATTTGGAGATATAAATCATAGATCTAGAGATGGACATCGTAGATCTATC